GTAATATTTCTTCAAAAACCACATTTTGAGTTTTTGTATCCACTAGTTCGTCCTCTAACGTCAGCATCATTAGGAGAATTCTTAGCGATCTGGACTTCTTGGCGAGAGAGAGGGCCATATACAGGTGTCTGTGAGAGAAGACTGGCACGCGTAAGTATAACCCGACGCAGTCCAGTGTCTGCCCTTGTGACTTGTTGATGGTCATTGCGAAGCAGAGTTTTACCAGAAACGGCATTCTTAAAAAGGCTTATGATGGTTTATCAATTATTACTGCGTGGAAACTCAATTTTGGAACATTTAAACTATAAATGGATCAATGACGGAAAAATATTTGATTAGTTATTACAGTATAACCATTCCAATTAGGTTACTGTTAAGCTGACAATGAGGTGCAGTTTAGTGGTAAAACGACTCACCTGTTGATCAATAGCTCATGGGTTCGAGTCACGCCGAGAATAAATGGGGAACCACTATTAATTCCTTTAAAAAAATAAAAAAGGTTAATGTTAAGTTTTAAAGATTTTATTTTTTCTATTATTTTTTTTATTCATTTATGTTAGGGTTTGTATATTCATGTGACACTCCTATATGTAAATACTATCTCTGAGTTGCTAATATATTATTGAATATATATATATATATGTATAAGAAGATTTAATAAAAAAAATTTAGGATGAAGAAATAATAGAATAAGATTAAAAAAATTGACACTAAAATTAAAATAAAAAAGAATATTAAATAATACTGAAGAGGGAAAAAAAAATAGGTTGTTGGTTTAGCAATGGAGCGTAACCTCCTTCACCAATTTTTTTCAAAGTAAATGCAAGGGAGATCTCAGTTTCGTTAGCATCTAGACTAATAGTACTAGCCTTTAATATCTTAGATACTATCTGAGCAAATTATGCACATTGAGTGTTAATTCATGCACATGGGGTATGGATCCATGCGCATGGGGTCTTGAATTATGCACAGAAACTCTAGATCTCTGTACATGGATTAATTTGTGTTACGTAACGATCGAAGGTAAGAGTCAAAGTCGAGTACACTAAGTTGAAAGGAAAAGAAACACCGCTGTACTTATAATAAGTATATTTTTTTGAAAAAATAAATTGTAAAATACGAAACAAAAAAATATTTTAAGATCATGTATATGTATTCTAAAAAGATGCATATAACAATTAAAATTAATTATTATGAACATATAATTTAAAATTATTTATGTGACAAAAAATCATGAACTCGAACTTTTAAAATGTATATTTATATAAGCGGCTAGAATCCTGTTACGAGACGGTTCCATTTTAAGATAATAACCGTATGATTAATTAGGCTATTTAACAACTGTAGGATTACAATGAGGGTGTATCATAGGTAAATATACCTAAACACACCTGATTAAACTGAAAAAATTAGAGAAATTGGTTAATTTTTCCCAAAGCTTTAAGTATCTAGCCAATTTGACCTAAAAAGATTTTTGCGAAGCCAAATACATCATCTAAGTTTCGATTTCTGGCCAATTTCATCCAATTGACAAAAATTCCGTTAGATTTAACACCTCCGCTAACATTCCGTTACGGATAAAATGACGGTTGTAAACCGCGTCGTTAATTTTACCCCATTGATTTTTGGTTAACCAATTTCGTCCTTTACGTTTGAAATTTTTGCCAATTTCATCCAATTGGCTCAGTTTCCGGAATACTTAAGTTAATTTTTAACAAAAATATGTCTCAATAGTATCAAAAAATTATAAAAATAACCCCAAAATATGTAAAATCAACAAAATAATCTCTTTTCATTATTTATTTTTTTATTTTTATTTCATTTTATTTCTCTTTACAACTTTTTATAACCATCAAAATATATTATAAGATCTTTAAAATAATAAGTATTTATTTTCAAACTCTATTATTCATGTGCAAACATGTGAGTTTGGTTCAGAAGTAATTTTGTCATATTTTTAAAATTTTTAATTAATTCTTTTATTTTTTGTTATTTACTATTCTTTTCTTATACTTCTTGACTTGTATCTGTTACTACTAGTATAATTACTAAATTTCATTAATTAATTTACTTTCTATTTCATAGATTATAAAAAAAGTTTAAAAAATAAAGAACATGAGGAAGAAAAATTTGAGTTCAAATAAATACGAAAATTAATAGGTTATCATTCTAAACAAAACAAAATCTAAAAAAAAAAAACTGCTAAGACAAGTCTTTCCTCCTTGACTTCTTGTAATTCATAGGTAAGTTAGAAATATAAATTTTACTCGATCTAGCCTAAAATGATTATTTTGTTTGTGATAGTAAAAATAATATAAAAATTAGATAATCATTTGAAATAGGAAAAAGTGTTAATTTATTTAGTCCGCGACGATGAATTGTTTTAAATTTAGTTAACACAATTTTTATTCATTTTTAGTAATTGTTGTTGTTACTTTACCAATGGCTAAACTCTATAAGCAATCACTTGGAGTCGAATTTTAAAAGTGGATTTTAAAGTTAGTCCAATCAACTTTTGTGATTCTTGGCAAGGGTGAAGTCTCCTTTTGGTTTGACAGTTGGCTGCCTTCTGCTCCGATTTGGTCCATCTACTTGTTGAATGACCCCCCATTTAAGAATCTCCAGTCCCAGGTTCTCAGCAACTGGAAAGCACAAATGTGAATTTATCGCTTATGGAAGACAAAATAGTATGGAAGCCAACATCTCATGGTGATTTTACCATAGCCTCGGCATATTCAGAATTCTGTCAAACACAGGGAGTGGTTCCACTTCTTGCAAACTTCTGTAATAAATTTGCTCCATCAAAAGTTTCTTTTTTTCTTATGGAAGCATTTTAATAAACTCGTGCCATTGCCCGATGTTTTGGTAAACTTAGATTTTTGTGCACAGTCCTCTAGATGTTCCCTTTGCTTACCGGAAGGGGAGAATATTTCCCATGTTTTCCAAAGTCACAATAGGTATGGAACTATTTTTCGAATATTCTGGGAATTTTTGTGTCTTCTCATGCAGGTCTATGGAGTTATGTTCAAGCTTGGTATACTATTGGTGATCTGCTCACTGCAAAGAAAATGATCAAGATAATCACTCCTGGTTTGATTTTGTGGGGACTTTGGAAAGTCCGGAATAAATGTCTATACGAGGGAACTTTTTTCTCCCCGAGCTTGGTGATCAAAGAAGTTAAAGAGCAAATTTCTATGACTCTCTGTTCTCATAAAATCCATGCAAAGTCAATGGATGAAGTCTTGGAACTAAAAGATATTTTTGCAATAGAGAATCTTCATCCAAAGCCAAAGAAAATCGGAGCACTCTGTTGGATCGCGCCGAACCCAGGGGAATTTATCCTCAACACAGATGGATCAACACTTGGCACTCAGGGAGAAGCTGGATGGGGATATGCAGTTAGAGGAAAAAAGGGAATGCTAGTAAGAGTTGAATGGCAATCTATAGGCAATGCTTTTTGTATAAAAGCGGAAATTATGGGTATTCTCTATGGTCTGCAATGGTACGCTGAAAAAGAACTTCCTAGAGTCACAGTTCAGACTGATAGCCAAGTAATAGTTTAGCTATTAAGCAAAGGCAAGAACTTCCCATGGCGATATCATGCAGCTCTGAGCGAAATAAAAAATATTTTGCAAAGCAGACACTACTATATTCACCATATCTTTCGAGAAGTAAATGCTCTAGCGGATGAACTGTCCAAGCAAGCGTCAAGTGGTAATTCCTTCTCTTGTGATAGTCCTACCAGCCTTCCACCCCACTTGAGAGGTATATTAGCATTGGATCAACAATCTTTTCCTTACATTAGGATTAGATATGAACTACACTAGGAAACCAAAGAACTGCCAGGGATTTTAGACAATCTTTGTAAAGCAGTATCTTAGTTTAGAGAGGTTAGAGATGTTAGAGCTGTCAGGGGATCACTAGAAGATTCTTTGTAAGACAACTTTTAGCTTTAGCTTCGCAACAGGGTAGTCATAAAAAAATTAGAACATGATTGTAAGACGGTCCTTCTTTTTTGGTAAGTGTTAAGCACTGCCAATTGTAACTTTTACTTTAAATTAATAAAATCGGGGGGATGCCCGCCAGGTACCCCCTTGGTTCTCCTTAAAAAAAAAAACTATATAAGCAATCATTGAATTTTATGACAAAGATAAATACGTATATTTTTTAACAACATATTTTTTAATATTTTTTTAAATCTCGAAATTGAATTACAAAAGGTAAATTTTTTTCTTGAAATATAATAATTATACTAGTGCCAACATAGACAAGTCAGAGAGTACAAGAAGAAAATTGTTAAAAAAATAAAATAAAACAAAATTAAAATTTTTTAAAAAATATAAAAAGACAAAATTACCTCTAAACCCAACTCAAGTGTATTGCACATGAAAAATATTATTGAAAATAAATAATTATTTTATAAAGATCATATAGTATATTTTGATGGTTATGAAAAGTAGTAAATAGAAATAAAATAAAATAGATTAAAATGAATACAAGTGAAAAGGGGATATTTTGTTATTTTTACATTTTTCTTAAGCACGAAAAAGGATGAAAATGACGTTCAGGTACCGGATAACTCAAAAAATATTTTGTGAGTTATCTTTAATATTTTAAAACGATTGGGGTATGTTTGTTAAAAACTAACGGAGATCCGTTAAGTTTAACAAAAATTTGACCAATTGGTTGAAATTGACAAAAATTTCAAACATAAAGGGCAAAATTGGTTAATAAAAAATCAATAGGGTAAAATTGACGGCGGGGTCAAAACAGTGTAATCGCTATTTTTTTTTCTGTTACTTTGTACAATTTTTTAGAAAGAAGAAGGGAAAAAAAAAGAAAAATAAGTAAAATATTTTGTAATTTTTTTGTGGAACTGAAGAAAAGTGGCGGCGACGGAAATGTGGGTAGTGATGGAGGGAGGATTTTGTACTGTTGGTGGAGGCAAATTTTATGTTTGTGGTGATGATTTGAAATCCTTACAGATTTAGGAAGTGGTGATGGTCATTTTTAGGAGAGAAGAGGAAAGGGGCGGCGGTGGTGCGGCAGCGAAAAACAAGTAAAAGAGGAAGAAAAGGAAGAGGCTTAGGGGAGTAGTCCTCCCCCCTCCCCCTCAATTTTTTCTGATGTCTCTAGCCAGAAACCCTAGTTGTGATGGCGATTGGCGATTGGAGTATCGGCCATAATGCCCGGAACTCATGGATCGTGCGGCGCGTCAAGAGCTGCCTAAATCATTTGCTAGTTTCTTTAAGAAACCGGATGATGCATCAATCCGAAAAGACTCTCTAATCAAAGAGATAAAGTTCGTCAATGGCACTCCAACTTTAGAGTTTGAAGACGAGGAATTTGAGAAGCTAATTGCCCCTCACCGGTTGTGCTTGGTCGGAAAGTTTTCGTATGGGAGGCCGAAGATGGAGGCGGTACACGATGAATTTAAAAAGATAGGCTTCAATGGTGGCTACATATTGGGGCTGATGAACCCTAGGCACGTGTTGATCTGTTTTGAGCAGGAAGACGATTATCAACGTTGTTGGATTAGGATGTTCTGGAATATAGGCGGATTCTCAATGAGGATTGAAATGGACTCCGGGCTTCCGGTGTGAAGAAGATTCACAGGTGTGCCTATTTGGGTTTTTCTTTATGATTTACCATTGAATACATGCATCCAGGGGTGATTTATTCGATGGCTACTGCGTTAGGCCAACCTTTGAAAGTTGATACACCAACCTTAAACATGACTCGGCCCTCTGTGGCGCGCTTTTGTGTTGAAATTGATTTAACCAAAGATTTGCCAAAATCAGTTAGGGTCGGAAAGAAGGGTCGTAAACACGATCAATTATTTACTTTTGAACACATTCCGTCTTACTGTGTAAATTGTAGTAAGATCAGTCACAAGGATTCGGAATGTCAGGTTAGAAAGCCTCTTCAGCGGAGCAACAAAGTTTAGCTTCCGGCAGTGAAGAAGAAGGGAATCAAACTACCGTCGAAACCTAAGTGGTCCTTCAAAGGAGGGAATAGCAAGCCTGGGTTGGTTGTCGAGCTATTAAGCTTAGACCCTTTGATTGGTAAAGGGATTGAAAAGGAAACGATGAAGCCGTCTGCCCCTTCGTCGTGCCCTGAGGAAACCCTAGAGGCGCGCATCGTTTCGGACACCCTAGAACAGCGACATGCTGAATCGTCTTCCGGTTTGACGATGAAGGAGAAGGAGTTAATTTTGGTTGATCTTCAGCCATCTCCTGAAAGGAGCGAATTGGGGACTGTCAAACCAAATCCTCTGAAACCAGGAAATGTATTCTCTGTGCTGCAAAATTCGGATGAAAGAGATAATGAATTGCCATTAGCGAATGCGACATGTGATAAGGTAGTTGCAGTTTCCTCTAATACGCTTCTTGCTACGGTGATCACAAATCGTTTTTCTGTGTTGGAAACGATAGATGAGGTGGTGAATGAAGCTACTAGTGTGGAGAAGAAGAGCATGTTGAAGATGCGTATATTGAAAACCCTCCTACACAACATGAACCTCAGAGTGATACTGTGATATTAAATATTTCTAATGAAGTACTGATGCTTGAAAGCTTGTGTCCTTTGGATTCTGGAAAATTTTGGATGATGGTGAAGTAGGCAAAGTCTCTGAACCAGTAGAAATTGAAGAGCTTGATAGGGGTGTATGGTCTGATGGTGATGCTGACAATATTCGTGCTACAGGATCTATGCAAGGGGAGGGTTCTGTGCACAAAAAACTTGGTCGGAAACCTAAGGCTGAGAAGGCTCTAATGCAAGAACAGCAAGGGGAGTTGGTCCCAAGGCGGTCTTCACGACTGCAGTAAACGGTTTGCGTATTCTATATTTTATCAATGTTAAGTCAAATAATTTGGAACATTAGATGAATAAAGAATCAAGCGTCGCAGCAGCATTTGAGGACTCTTATTCATTCATATAGAGTTTCTTTCTTAATAATCTTGGAGCCTATGCTGGGTCCGGATCAGCTTGAACGCATTCGAAGAGAGCTGAATTTTGATATGGCCTTTGCTTCCAGACTAGTAAGACTTGGGTCTTTAGTCAGCGCAAATTTACAGTGACTATGTTAGAGGATGATGTCCAAGTGTTTCATTTTGAAGTATCTCATTCCAATGTTGCTGGTAAATTCTATCTCTCGGCAGTTTATGCTAAAACCACAAGAATTGCGCGACAGCCTTTATGGAATAATCTGATTGCATTTCGTCAAAAAATTCCAAATTCTCCATGGATGGTTGCTGGAGATTTTAATGTAATTCGGTCATTGGAAGAGTATTCAGGTGTCTCTCTACAAGATCATGTGGCTATATCTGAATTTAATGACTGTATTTTTGAATGCAATCTTCTTGAGCTTCCGACGATGGGTGAAGAGTTTACTTGGGGCGGGGCTAGAAGTACCAGATGGGTGAGCAAAAAACTCGACAGGGTTTTGATCTCAAATGAATGGAATGAATTCTTTCCCCGCTCATCAGTGGAGAATTTGAATAGGACGACTTCGGATCATAGTCCTTTGTTACATTTATTTGCTCCGCAAGGTGAAAGCAAGCCGAAGATTTTTAGGTTTCAGAAAATGTGGTTAAGTCGGGATGACTTTAAGGGGATTGTTAAAGACTGCTGGGATCAACCTATTCAACATTCCGGGATGCTTTGTTTCTCCTGAAACTCAGGCGTTTAAGGTTGAAATTAAAAGAATGGAATAAGGAGGTGTTTGGGAATGTATTCGAAAATTTGCAACTTGAGGAAGCAAATGTGCAGCGCCTAGAGATTATCCATGATTCTTCAAGGCTGGAGCATGATAGAATTAATCTTAATGAAGCTAAAGCTCATTTGCTTTGCAAGCTTAAAGAACATGGAGAGTTTTGGTCTCAAAAGATGAGACTCAAATGGTTAAAGGAGGGTGACGCAAATACAGCATTTTTTCATGCAACTTTGAAAGAGAGAAGAGTCAAGCAAAGCCTTTTTAAAATTCAGGCTGAAGATGGTAGAATGCTAACCTCTGGTTCGGAGATTGAAAATGAGGCCGTGAGATTTTTTACAAGTCTCTTGAATGAAGTAGATGATGAGATGAATGAGGCAGCTGCTCAAGGTATATTCTTAGACCATATTCCCTCCATTATGTCCCCTGAAGATGGTGTCCTATTGTTGCGAGAGATTACTATCGAGGAGCTCAAGGAGTCGGTTTTTAATCTGAGTGAAGATAGCGTGCCAGGCATTGATGGTTTTGGTGGAACGTTCTATAGAGCTTGTTGGGACATTGTTGCTAATGATCTTTTGTTTGCTTGTTGTGAATTTATGATCGGTGTTCCACTGCCTAGAGCTATCTCAAGCACTCTAATCACTCTTCTCCCGAAGAAAGCTACAGTAAATACTTTTTCAGATTATAGACCCATAAGTCTATGCAATTTTCTGAACAAGGTGTTTACCAAAATTCTTACTGAAAGGTTGAAAAAGATTTTACCAAAACTTATATCGGAAGAACAATCAGCTTTCTTGGAGGGCCGGGATATTTTTGATAATGTGTTGTTATCACAAGATTTATGTCAGTTTCTGAAGAGGAATTATGAAGGGAGGAATTTTTTCCTTAAATTGGACATGATGAAAGCATTTGATAGAGTGAAGTGGAGTTTTTTGGAGAAGATATTGCTTAAATTCAGGTTTCCTCAAGCCTTTGTTCTCTTAATCATGAATAACCTGCGTAGTAGTTGGTTCTCTATATTGATTAATGGAGGTCCGGTTGGATTTTTTAAGTCATCTCGAGGTATAAAACAAGGAGATCCCTTATATCCGTATTTGTTTATTTTGGTTTCGGAGGCTTTGTCAAGAAGGCTAAATGCTTTAGTGGAATCTCGGAGAGTAGCAACCTTTGGAGTTCCTTCAAGCTCAATGACTATTTCTCACCTCGCGTTTGTGGACGATCTTATAATTTTTTCGCAGGGTTTGAAGAGGTCTCTCCATCGACTTAATGCCTTTTTCCTTGAATATGAACAAGCTTCTGGCCAACGAATTAATAGATAAAAAAGCTCATTCATGGTTGCTGAAAATTGTCCTATGCAACGAGTTGAGATTATCCAAAATGCTTTGGGAATTCAAAAAGGGAGCTTTCCTTTTGTTTATCTTGAATGTCATCTATTCCCGGGGAGACGCAAGGCATGTTTTTTTCAATTTCTCTTGGATAAATTGAATAACAAACTTTTGAACTGGAGGAATAAACTCTTAAGTCAAGGTGGTAGACTCATTTTAATCAAACATGTTTTAGCCTCTATACCAATACATGGTTTTGCAGCCATTCCACCACCAAAGACAATTATTCAGAAGATGGAAAAAATTTGTCAAAGGTTCTTTTGGCGAGGGACTAGTGAAGAAAAGAAAAGGCACTGGCGGGCTTGGGATAGATTGACTTATCCCCTCTTGGAAAATGACTTGGGCATTCGAAGTTTCCATGATATTATTGAAGCTTTAACGGTTAAACTTTGGTGGAAATGGAAGCAACAAAAGGGTTATATGGAGTAGATTTCTAGTACATTATCTCCTTCATCGCGGGATATTACATCTTGGAAGAGAATCATGAAGGTGAAGCAACGAGATTACACATACGAAAGTCATTGTGCGACGTGGGAATAGAATGTTTTGGCATGATAATTGGTCCCCCTATGGTGTCCTTTGGAATGATCCTCATGATGAACCTCCCTATCCAAAGCTAAGCATTAAAGAGTTCTTCCAGGATAAGCATTTCTATCTTAGCATAATTCAAGAGCTTCTGCCGCAGCATATATTTTGCTACCTTTCTGAATTTTCTTGTGATTTTCAGAATGAAGATGATTTGTTTTTTTGGCAGAGAACATCTAGTGGAATCTTCACAGTCAAGTCGGCTTACGAAGTGTTGCGGCGTAGGTGTCCGGAGGAGAGCTTCATGAAAAATGTGTGGAACTCGCTTGTCCCAACGAAGGTATCTTTTTTTCTATGGAAATTGAGGAACCATTTGCTGCCGTTCCCTGAGATCTTAAGCAGATTTGGAATACAAATTTTGCCTTCAATTTGCTGCCTCTGTTTGGCTCATGATGACGGGATGGAACACACTTTCTTTGGATGCCAAAAAAGCCGAGAGGTATGTCTGCATTTTGAGATTTTGCTTCGACTTAATATCCGGGGTCTTAGTTCTCTTGTTTCTATGCTAAGACTATGGTGGCGGGAAGGAAATATCAAAACAGCTCAAGGGGCTTTTCGCAAGGTTCTCCCTTCACTTATACTTTGGGAAGTTTGGAAGATGCGCAACAAGGTGATCTATGAAGGAGCTCGATTTAATGTCCAGTGTGTTATTCATGCCATTATGGATCATGCTCGCTCCATTTTGATGATCTATAATCTGAAAGTTGAAGATGATAATGAGAGGGAATTCTTCAAAGCAACGCTTGGAATATGCTTAAACCGAGTTGATCATGCAAGGGTTTGGAAAATAGCTTGGATACCGCCAGAGGAAAATTCCTTCCTTCTGAGTATGGATGGATCGTCACGATTGAATGACGCTGGTTATGGCTTTGTAATCCGCAAGGAGGGTGGAATTTTTTTGTATGGGGAAAGTGGATATTTGGGAGATGGTGACAGTTCAAGGCAGAAATTATGGGAGCTCTATTCGGGCTAAGGAAGTGTGATTTGCTTGGACTTAGCAATGTCATGCTTCAGACAGATAACAAGACCTTAGCTGATATATTGAAGTCGGAAAAGGACCACTTGTGGAGTTATTACTCTATCTTGCATGAGATGATTTTCATTATTCAGAAGAATAATTATAAGGTTTTCCATATATACAGGGAGGCTAATTCGGTTACAGATAGATTAGCAAGATATGTATCTAATGGTTCCTCAGGACCTTACACTAGTCTAGAGTCCTTGCCAAGAGTTGTAAAAGGATTATTGATACTTGATCAATTGTCCTTCCCATATATTAGAACCCGCTGTGTTTGATGTATAGCAGGTAAGTCTTATGCACTGCCGGCTTTTTTTTTCTCAAATTAATAAAATGTAGGAGGGAAGACTCTAGGGAACTAGATGATACATATGTCCATCCCTTGGGTGCAATGTATCATCTAGTACTGCCTAATTCGAAAAATTCATCTCCTGTGTATATCCCTTGAGTGTTTTTTGAGTTAGTCGGAACCTGAACGTCTTCTTATCCTCTTTTTGCTTAAAAAAAAAAAGGAAGAGGCTTAGGGTGGGAGCAATGAATTAGATTAGGAGATAAATCATGTGGTAGGGACGTTATAATAATTAAATAGTAAGATAAGCATATGTTACTGAATAACAAAACATTGTGGATAAAATTTTAAAATTTTGGGTCAACAAAGATTTTTACCAATAAAAAATTGTACAAAGTAACGGAATGTCAGTGAAAATATTAAATCTAATAGAATTCTTATCAATTTGTATTAAACTAGCAAAAAATTGAAATTTAGATGATGAATTTGGTTTCTCAAAAATATTTTGGGTCAAATTGGCTAGAAACTTGATGTTTTGGGTAAAAGTGAT